ACCACATAACTGAAGGCCTGCAGGGCCATGGGTGCCTAATGCTGGTGTGGTGGGTGCGGGAATACGTTGAAAGGAGCTACTACCAGGATCATCCAATGGGTGTCCTGTCTGGAGGCTCCAGTCTAGCAGTGTAGGGTAGTCTGTTAGACACCCAGACAGGATGACCCAGGTAGGGCTCAACAACTCTCGATTTCTGCTGGAAATGGTGCTGGGTGGAGGGAAATACCTCTGCTGCGGCGCCGCAGGGAGTGAGGGTTTTGGCCCTTGCCATATGAGCTCAGACTGACGTAACATGACGCATCCGCAATTAGATAAGCATGGAAACTGGGAACATGAAGCCTTTCTTTTCAGTGCCCTGGTGCTCCGTGCGGTTTCCAGGAGTTGACCTTGAGATGACAAGAATCGAGAAAAAGCAAAAGCAAAGGTGACGTGAAAAACACACTGAAGAATCATATGAATCCAGAAAGAGAAGAGTTCTTGGATGGTGCTGCGCCCAAACTTGAACAACAAACCAGAGGTGTGATGGACAGAAGTGGGTCCTCATAATGGGCCACTTGTGCTAGCAGTGTGTCGGTGCTATTCTACGTTTGGCACGACATTTGCATCGCTGACGTCAGCCAAACAAGATATGGGCCACCATGAGAATTTGCAAACGTGTACACCAGGGGCACCTGTATGGTGTTGGACATGACATGAACAGAAGGATGGAGGCACGAGTGCCGAATCAGAAGCTTTGTTGGAATCACTGTAGGTTCACTTGCCGCCCTCCCCAGGTTTGCACATGCAAACCTTTGAAACCGTTTCAGGCATCGACCTCGGCGACGATCGGCTCCCTCCCGCTTCTTCTGGCTATCCTCCCCCCCTCATGGATCCCCAGCCTCGCATGAAGCGAACACCAAACACCCCTCTGAGAAGCTGTGACCGCTGGTCAAACGACTTCAGACTGCACGATGTTTCTCCGTCCACCGAGGAGGAGGTGGATGGATTGTTACAACTCATTGCTGATGTTCGAGGCGAAAGCCTAGAGGCCGAGAGGACGGGACTGGCCGAGAGGACGGACTGGCTGGTTACTATGATGTGTGCTATTTTGCGTTACTATGTGTTGATGTCTTGGACTGCTGGATTAAGGATCCCGTTTTGGTTATCCAGTTGTAGTTGAAGAAGTTCCACAGATTACTCCACAGATCATTCACCATGTACAATCATGATATGTTATCCCAAGTGTGTGTGTTTGTGTGTTGGTTTGTTTGTCGTTTTGAAAGACTCATGTTGTAGATGTCACTAGGTCCTACGGATTCGTACGGATTCCTGCGGCAAAACCCTGTATACTGTGTACATATCTTTATCTTTAGGCATTTCTAGGCTCATTTGGATGGATCCATCCTCACGAAAAACCCACCCCATCGTCACATGGCGGGCTGTAGAGGATCCGCGAGTGCAGAACTTTGCGCCGATTCGCAGGTGGATCCTGTTGCCTTAAATGAGGTGAGGATTTTCCTGCAAGAACACGAGGCGCGTCGAGTCTCCTCATTTGAGCAACCACTTTTACTTGGTCCCGACAGAAGTCGTCTACGGTATGCTCTAATTGTTTGTCCAACATCAATCGATGCTGCTCATTTGTTCTTCTGCTCCTCAAAAAAAACGGCCCCACGGGGTGGTCGGCAGGAAGATTCGATGGAAGGATGTGGATGAGAAAGTGATGCAGAGCACTCACGCATGTGTTAGAGTGGGACCTATTAATTGAGTCAGGTGCAAACCCAGGTGGTGTTTGAGTCCTTGACATCTCCAAGTCTCCAAGTAGATCCTTTTGTTATCTTTTGTTCATGGTTTTGTTGAAGGCAAAGGCTGGGACCTTTTTATCATCCCCAAGATGGGTGCAGGAGGTAGCTACTTTGCCAACGGCGGATTACTTGTTTCTGGGTCTGAGAGGCACCAGCATAAGCTTCGCGTCACATCGGAGAATCTATCGACAACTGTGGGATTTTTCGGACACAAGGGCTGGCACTGCCAGATCAAACCTAAGAGCTTTGTTTCCAAATAACAATCTCTTTTTCCAACTTTTCCCAGCTCCTTTGCCCAGACTCCAATTCAGTCCTCGTCCCCAAGACCACGCCCAGGCGGAGAGCGCGAAGAGCGCCACGCATTTGGTCTTAGAAAGCTATCCTGACTGGTGGGTCAGGCCCATATGTCCTGCCAGGGGCGATGTGTTTAGACCAAGTGGGGTTGAGGGTGGGAACGGGGGGAAGGGGCATCTCTCCCACGAAGTGGCTCAAAAGATCAAGAATGACCTGGAGTTGCACGTCTATTTCTTTTGTGCCACTTGGGGTCTTGCATGGATACCTTGTGTAGAGCTCACTGACATCAAAGAAACTTGCTCTCCAGATCTGACTTCTACCAGAGGCGATCCATGAGTTTTTGTTCTTCCATGCTCTTCCCATCCGTCCGATCAGCAGACTTGTCGGGAATCGCACGTCGCAGGAAGAAGAGAGTGAGGTCCTTGGAGATGTTGAGTACCAGTGGAGTGAGGCTGAATTTTCAGTAAAATGGCGGATGCTGGTACTTGTATTGATCAAAATGAGAACGAAAGAAGACAAGATCTCATTATCACTAGATATCACCAGGTATAGATTCTCTTCTTTGGGTCCATTTTTGCTGAAGGCTTTGCAATGCTTTGTATAGAACGCTCATCATCAGATGTCTTAGTGAGCATTCACCTTTGTGTGTTTGGAGTCGGAGCATTTGTGTTGGAGTTGGAGACATATATATATTTGTTGCCAGCATCCATATTGAGGGACAGTTGAAATATCCCCCTGGCAATTTCCTCTCTAAAATGAGGGGTGTGTGCCCCAAAAGCGCAATTTTAGGGAAACTTGTTTTTGCTATAAAATCAATATTTGTTTTCTGTTGCCATGGATTCACGATATCCCAAGATCCGACATTTTAGAGAAAGATTTGCGAAAGAGTCAACATGGAAAAAGGTAAAAATTAGGACAGTTCTAGAGAATTTATGTTTTGCAATGTGCATGTGCAAATGTTAATTCTACAGAGAAGAGGTGTGATTGCAAAGAATTTAGTCTTGCATTTTAGAGAGAGAGAGAGTGAGTTGGAGAGTGCAACATTGGGTTTTGATTCTATAGGAAGCCCGTTTCTAACGCTTTGCTTGCTTTGCTCAACCATGCTGTTGAGATGGAAACAGGTTACCATTTGTATGAGATGACATGAGATGACGCTAATTTACACTAGAATTCCGTAGAAGTCCAAGGAGAAAATATCATAAGAACAAATAAGAACAGAGCAAAAGGTTACACAGAGCAGTTGTGCGGAACCCGATCCAACGTTCCAGTTGAGATCTCATGAAATATCATGCCAATACCTTTTGCATCCTTTTGGTAGCATGTGGTAGTCAACAATCGACCAAGTGAGGAACTTGGAAAAAGAAGCTGCTCATGGATATGGGATCACATCAAATCGTATATCAAATCACAACAAATCACATCAAATCACTCTAAATTGGAGTCATTTGACTCTAAAATGCTTCTCTCTAGAATTGAAGACTTCTTGCATGTATCTCATCAGCTTCCTGCTTGTCAGATTTTGGACTTTAGAGTGGGCCAGGTGAGGGGCAAATCTTGTGGATTCTAAGGGTCAACCCGGTCATTTTAGAGTGAAGTGGTTTTGTATGGGTTTTCAATTTAGAGACAAACTTGGACACCCAAAACAGGTTTAGGTCTCTAAAATCAGGGGCACTACCCTCACCTGGAATTCCCAAGAGGATGTTGACATGCCTTATGATTTATGCCTGAGTAAATGGTAGAGTGGTTTACTCTCATGCTAAGTAAGACCTTGTAACATAAGAGGTAAGTCACATAAGTTTCAAGAGCTAATTAGCATATAGAGGTAATGCACACTTAGCAAAGAGTATGCACACTCAGAGGTACTTCATGGTATTTCTAAGAGTCACATAGAGGTATGCACGCTCAGCTAATTGCTAATGAGCTAATATGTCACATAAGAGATAAGTCACTAAGTCCATATTTGTCCTTGGCTCACTGGAGAGGGCAAGGGCACTGTTTTGCTGCCCAAAGGACTTGGAAAGTATTCTTCCTAACGAGTGCCTTTTCCATGTTCGATCTCCCCGTGGACCCCGGAGCTCAGGCCCCTCCTGGTCTAGACATCCAGGGTGCTGACGCTCTTGAGGAACTCAACGGATCGGATCGTGTCGGAGGTCTTTGGAGCGGTCGTTGGAGGTCTCAAGAGAAGACCATGGACCATGGTGGTCAAGCGAAGACTGTGAGACCTGTCTCTCCTACTTCGGTGTCGCCGGGCACTTGTGGACTTATAAGTAAGAGTGTAAGTGTACTTAAGGGAGGTTAAGTGGGCTGGTAAGTAGGTTAAGTGGTTCATAAGTTCAATTTTTTTTTCGTTACTTATGATGGAGATAGCTACTTACCGCCCTACTTATAAGTAGGATGCTGTTGAAGTTGAAAAAGGTCGTTTCTACTTACGATAGTACTTAACCTACTTAGCTTTTTGTATGTTTTCAAGACGTTTTTAAACATATGTCTAAAACAGAGTCATTTTGCAAACATTTTTGTTTTCACGTGCTGGGCAGTTTTGGCTCACAGGCGCGTTACGTTGGGTCGGAGGCACCTCCATTTATTTTTCCGCGTATGGCGGGTGCTTTTGAGAAGGCAATGGTTGCCGGCCAGAAATTTTTTAGAAGGCTTGCGCAGCCTTCCGAGCTACAAGGACGCACAGCAGAAGCAGCTGCGAGCGCTCTTGAAGCAGTTGGGTTCGGTCACTGATCTGACCACAGGTCAGTCAGGCAAGATCTTGTCAATGCTGGATGAGAAATTGTGGGACCACGAGTCTCTACAGCAGTTGCGGCAGCAAATAGCTGCCGGGTGTACCACAGGACGGGGAAGAAGTCCGCAGCCAGCGGGGTGGTTGGCAGACCTTGGCAATGAACCCTGGCAGACCTTGGCAATGAACCCCGCCTTGCACGTGGAAGAGATGTTCACAGCTGCGGATGCCCTGATGTCTTTGATCCCGCTGGTGCGTCGTGCAGGTCTGGAAGAACTGCACGACTGGCTGGAAACTGCGCTGCTGGTGATGTCGGCTGCGCGCCGGCGGCTGCAGACTTTGCATGTTCTGAGATGTACAAAAACGGCTTGTTCGCCGTTGTCCGCGGTTGTCCGCCGTTGTCCGCCGTTGTCCGCGGCCGAAACGGACACTCTGCGCGATGTCCGCCGTTGTCCGCGGAAGCCTAGGATTTGTAGCCTGCGGAGGGGGAAACCTTGTCCGCGGTTGTCCGCGGACGACGAAACGCTGCGTATCTGTGAGAAAACACTTGTCCGCGATGTCCGCGATGTCCGCCGCTCTAAAATATATGATTTTCTGTTTGTCCGCGGCCTCTCACGAACTTTTGTTGATTTGTGGTAGTTTTGCTTCCGGTTGTCCTGTCTCTGGATACGTTTTTTGGTGGTATCTCTGACATGAGATCACTGCAGTTTTGCATTGGCTCAACCGCGACCCCGCTATAGTTCCCCCTCCGAGATGGCTAGCGCAGATGCACCTGCGAGCGGTGCAGACTGCTTGTGCCGCCTGTGTGGCCACAAGTTCAGACTGGACCAAGGCCGCTCGCGATCTGCACAGACGTTTGAGTGTCACCCGATGGGCTCACTGCTGAGGGGCGAAACTTCATTCCGGGTCAGATCTACATCTTGGACACCAAAACGGCCGTGGAAATCACGGGAGCAAGAGTGGAGCACTGCCAACACAAGCTGGAAGCAAATGTTCTGGTCCTACGCTGGCGTTCAGACGGCGGGCTTCACGCGCTGGTTGCGCCAAACTCCTGCTATGCATCAAACTGTGGCGGTTTCTAGGCTTCTGCAGAGGCGTGAAGCGCTCTTCGTGCGTAAAGATGGACCAGACGTGTGGCTCCTGCAGTGAAAAAGACCGCTTGCGCGCGCGTTTTTCGCTTTTTCGTAAATCTTCACGAAAAACACATACTTCTACTTAACCTACTTACAAGTCTACTTATAAGTATGGTTCTAAGTACGAAAATACGTATCTAGCTAAGTAGCATCATAAGTAACTTATAAGTCCACAAGTGCCCGGCGCCACCGAAGTATGGAGGTCTTCTCTTGAGATGACCTTTTCAAGGAGTCTAGCTAGGACATTCTGTGTCACACTCTTCGCCATCTGTTTTGCAAATGCGCCCGGTCGTTTCGCGCGAAAGCAGACCCACCGACCGCGCGTGGCCACTGACGCCTCCGTGGTTCACCTGGAATCCCCGGAGGAGCTCTATCGGCACGTGGGCTTCATGCACTCCCTGGGCGTCCCGATGACCTTGGCAGAGAGGCCGAGACGGGCCGGCCGGCAGCATTGGGTCTCCCAGGCGTCCCGACCCCCCTGGAAGAAAGGAAATTGACAAAAACCCATTGGTTGGGATGTTGGGGTTTTGAAATACACACTCACACACACCCATATGCTCGTGTTCACGCTTCGATACGCTTTGTACCTGTATGAACCGGTGAAGCCGGTTTCGATGCCATGACAATGGTTAAGTCCGACATGACAAAGATGGGAGACCAATGACAGTGATTGTGCCGTCTATCCAAAATGTTTTTTTATTTTAATCGAATGGACCCCCCCTTATTGTACACTTCTTGTAGAGGGAATCATCAAGATTGAGTGATTCATGGGATGATGTGGTTGATTGGACAAACTCTATACAGTCGTCTACACTTTCACAGCCCTGCATGAGTGACCCAGCGCTTACTGGATGTGACCAGGTATCTCGGTAGGTGCATCAAAAGGTGTGACCAGCAGTTTCCCTTTGCCTGGTTGGTCCTATTCGAGGGCGGTAGAGTCATCCCAGGTGTCCCATGAAGTGTGGCAAGGCACATCATGGCACGGCAAAGGTTTGCGCCTTCAGAAGCACACGGGTCAAAGAAATATATACACACATGTAGATACAGAGCAGAAAGGACCTACTGTGTTTTTCCCCTACGCGACGAGTGATGCTAAGTTGCATGCGGGTTGGCGTTCGGTGTTTCCGGAGAATTAGCGCGGAAGAAGTGCTTTTGACCCTTGTGCGCCTCTGAAGAACTGGTTGTTCAGAGCTAAGCGAGGGTACAAAGCACTTCTTACATTTTTGCACTGCTACTGGCAGCATGTGATGTCCAAAAAGCTATTTCATAGGGCTGGTCCTAGTGTGGATACCCCAACACTCCGACCCCATAGCCGGGTCCAATGATGGTTGGGGTAGACTATTTGTGTCACCCCTGGTGATTCTTTCGCAGTCAAAGTCTCCTTCAACATCTTCGTTTGTGCTTCTAAGGCCGCAGCAAGCTCTCCCCCGCCAACAACCGAACCTTCGGACTCGCGTTTGAGAGCCTCCAATTCCATCTCTAGGGCAGCGACCTTCGCGCGCAACGGCGAGTCTCCTCCGCTCGTCGCATGCTTTGCGAGTCCTGCACGCCCAACTTCCTTCAGCGACATGGCAGCTCGAGTCGGAGAGTCGAGAACGGGGCCTTCCACTGAAGTTGTGCTGAACAACTTGTCGCTCTTGGAGCTCTCCTTTCCACCAAGGGCCAGGATCACCTGCCCAAGAACTTCTGCCTTCATGATCGGAGTCCAGCGCGACGAACGCGAACCTGTCCCACAAAGCGCGAACTAGGGCCCGGACATCCCAAATGCCCACCTGGTCATAGGTGTCCTGGATGATCTCGGCCTTAAGCGTGACTCGATCTCGTGAGTCGTGAGTGTCCAGACGGCCGGCCTTTCGAAGCTCTACTAGATCATGTCGGCTCAGGGCAGGTTCTAAGTCATAGTGGCTTGTAGCAATTCCAAAACTTTGTAAACTTCAAAAGTTTGGTTAACACTTTGCAAACTTTGTACAATCGCCAAACTTTGTCCAAACTTTGTGCAATTACAAAACTTATGTAAACTTGTTGTTAACTTGTAAAATCCAAGACTTTGTAACAACGTTGTCAAAAGTTGAAACTATGTACAATTCAAAAGCTTTTTGTTAAAAGATTGTAAACCGTGTGCAATCGCCAACCTCTGTCCAAACCTTGTGAGAACTTTGTAAACTTTTGAAAGGCTCCAAGACTGTGTAAAACTTTGTAAAATCTTCGTAAGCTGCTTAAAACTCCAAAAAGTTTCGTTAACTTGTTGTAATTTCGCCAAACTTTGTCCAAACTTTTGTCAAAATCCAAAACTGTGTTAAAAAACTCTGTAAATTTGCAAAACTTTGTCCAAACTTTGTAAATCCCGAAAAAAACACTTCGAACATCGCAAAACTTTGCCCAAAATCACAAAATGTTGTAAACACTTTGTAAAAGTTTGTGAAACGAAGTGTGTTTGTAATTGTTTGTTGTAAAATAAGTGTTTTCATGTGCAGTTTGGTAAAAATAAGTGCCTTTTTTTCACCAACAAGTTGTAAAGTTTGTGAAAACTTTGTAAACACGTTGTACGCTGTGTAAAACTCAAAAACGTTGTTAAACTTTTAAAACATTGTGTAAACTGTGTAAAAATCAAAAACCATTGTAACAACTTTGTAAAAATCAAAAACTTTGTAACCACTTTGTAAAATGTTGTAAACTGTTGTAAAATTGCAAGATTTTGTAAAAATGTGTACACATGTAAAATTCCAAAAGTTTGCACTATCTTTGTCACAGCTTTGTGAATCTTGTAAGATTCCAAAACTGTGTAGGAACTTTGGTAAAAAATCAATATCTTTGACAAAACTTCTGTGAGCATTGAAAATTTGCCAAAGTTTGTCCGAACCGTTCTGTAAAAATCCAGAATTTGAAAAAAAAACAAGATGGAGCCCACGAACCCGAATGCAAACACGTTCGAAAAGCTACATATGTGAAATGACACTCTTGTAGGACACTCTTGTGGGTCACTCTTGTAGGAAACTCTTGTGGGACACTCTTACGGGACACTCTTGTGGGACACTCTTCTGGGACACTCTTGTGGGACACTCTTGTGGGACACTCTAGTAGGAAACTCTTGTGGGACACTCTTACGGGACACTCTTGTGGGACACTCTTGTAGGACACTCTTGTGGGACACTCTTGTGGGTCACCCTAGTAGGAAACTCTTGTGGGACACTCTTACGGGACACTCTTATGGGACACTCTTGTGGGACACTCTTACGGGACACTCTCGTAGGACACTCTTGTGGGGCACTCTTGTGGGACACTCTTGTGGGACACTCTTGTAGGACACTCTTGTGGGACACTCTGGTGGGACACTCTTGTGGGACACTCTTGTAGGAAACTCTTTTGGGACACTCTTGTGAGACACGCTTGTGGGACACTGTTGCGGGACACTCCTGTGGGACACTCTTGTGGGACACTCATGCGGGACACTCTTGTGGGACACTCTTGTGGCATGACTCTTGTGGGACACTCTTGTAGGACACTCTTGTGGGACACTCATTCGGGACACTCTTGTGGGACACTCTTGTGGGACACTCCTGTAGGACACTCTTGTAGGAAACTCTTGTCGGAAACTCTTTGTGGGACACTCTTACGGGACACTCTTATGGGACACTCTTGTGGGACACTCTTGTGGGACACT